GATTAGTAAACCTGCTCCCATATATGTGTCAGTGTGTGTGCTATAGCGTTTTAGATGCAAAAGAGACAGCGGCTGAAGAAGTGATTTCTCATCTTTCAATATCCAAACACAACATCCACACTTAGGGAAAATTATCCCCATATTTCTCACCATTACAGCATTTTATAAGTTTTAACCCCATTTTGAACGGCTCCTATCCAAAAAAGAAAGAAACTGATTCCAGGCAGGATAAGGTTTTTTCACAACTTATATTGGATAAACTGAAATGAACTCCACAATTAGCAACAAAACTTGAAAGAAAAACATAATCCAAACAAAAATCAAGATTAGCAACAAGAACAAAATAGTTGTCTTAGACATCAATGTTCAGTAATCAGGATCAGGAAGACATAAATGTACAAGTTCATTGCATTCATTGCTGCTAATGTAAACATGCCTGCAATGATTGCTGATGCAAACATGCCTAGGAAAAAAGAAATGTCTGCAAAAGACATCAAAGGAAAGGAAACCTCTTCAACCCTCTTACATTAACATAGCAGCAATAATAGATAATATTGGAACATAGTATCAAAGAAGATCATAAAAGACAATAATCAAATTAAATTACAACAGATGTGGGGAATGATAGAAGTCTAACAACTGGCAACCACATTTTTGTCTTTTCTCTACTTTTCTTTACATTAATCAACAACAGTTAGTTGCATTAACAACGAAGCCATGTCAAAAACACTATAGGATGTTACTAAATAACAAATTAACAAATGCTAGCCACCACAAAAGGCTGAGTTTGTCTTGTTGCCACAAGAAGAGAGACCCTTGGGGGTGGTTCAGGTGAAAGAGAACCAAGGGTAGTTAGTGGGGAGGACTACTCTACCCCAAACGGTTCAATTAACCCGAAAGAAACCCGGACCCACCTAATTTCATCTCAAACCCAACATGGCGTTTGGGAGGGGGAGTGTATCTAGCCACCGGGACCGAACTGGTTAACCTCGACAGACCACATCTTCCCTGTAGAAAGGGATAATTTTCTTCGGTTGCAGGCAGGTGCAGAGCTGAGCTGCTCAAGAAACCCTCAAAGACCTCTCTGTCAGCAAAAGTGGCCTTCTAGGGTCTCCACTACCTCAGTCTTGATGGAGGAGGTTGTTCAGTCAGTTGTTGCGACGACGGAGACAATACTAGAAGACTCAACTCTAGTAGAAATCACCATGTTGGCCATAACCGAAGCCAGAGAGGAAGCTACCCCACAATTCCAACCACCGACCGAAATCCCAAATTATCAAGTACACAGTTCCCTTTTGATTCGAGAGGGTGGACAAAAAAGGGGCAAGGAGGTGGTTGTGGAGGGGGAGAGTGGTGCAAAAAATTAGGGAAGGAAGAAGGTCGACTCTACTTCGGCCTGGGTGACCTCAAAGCTATTGGAGCTGGGGAAGTTTTTTGGGGTATCGATAGAGGGCCTAGAGGAGGAGACAGTTAGCTACTTAGAGGGGATAGAGAAGAGGTTGTCAGCGGAAAAGGAAAAACTGAACACTAGAAAAGGGCGAAGTTCTATCACAAAAAACCAGGAAATGCTAAGACTCTCTTGGGGTGAATGAGAAGGTGGGGAAAGGGGAGGGGGAAAAAAGGGGTAGAGAAAAGTGAAAGGCCAAGGCAAAAAAGGGAGGGATGTCCCTATTGTATTTTCTTTATGGAGTTAAAAATCTTGTCTTGGAATGTAAGGGGTTTATGGTCAAGGAGAAGGATGGTGGTCTGTGACTTATTGAAGAGATGGAGGTCGGAGGTGGTTTTCTTGCAAGAATCCAAATTAGAAGTGGTGCAAGCTGAAACAATTAGGCATATCTGGGGGAAAGAGGAAGTTAGATGGATCAATAAGCCATCTAGAGGAAGTGCAAGTTACCATGTGGGATAGATCGAAATGCAAGATGATTGACTCCCACGTTGGTGATTTCTCCATTTTAATTGAATTAGAGTGGGAGGGGGAGTGAGGGGTTTATTTACTAATGTTTACGGCCCAATGTTAAATGAAGAAAAGAAAAGGCTTTGGGGGATTTATCCAAAGCAAGAGGGCCTTCCACAATTCCTTGGGTAGTAGAGGAGACTTCAATTTAACTAGATTTTTGGAAGACAGAAATGGAGGTAGAAACGGAGCTAGAGACAGGAGGCAATATGCAAATTTTGAAAATCAATTTGAATTGATATATCTTCCTCTAATAGGGGCCTAATTTACGTGGACAAACAACCATGAGAATCCTGTCCTAGTAAAACTTGATAGATTTTTGGTGTCCCCGAGGTGGGAAGACCTATTTCAAAACCTGAAACAGCAGGCTTTGCCAAGACCAGTTTTAGACCACTCCCCTCTTCAACTAGTTTGTGGTGCGCAAGTCCAAAGAAAGTCAAGCTTTAAATTGGAGCATGCTTGGTTTGAAGAAGAAGACTTTGTACCTTTTTTTAAAAACACTTGGACTGAAACTCAGGTGGTTGGAACAAGCTCTTACATTTTAGCAAAAAAAATGGGTGTAATTAAGGGGTCTTTAAAATCTTGGAAGGCAGAAAATTGGAATAAGTCTGAAAAAGAAAAAAGAAGGTGTCTTGAGGAAATCAAAGAGATAGATACAGCAGAGGAAAGAGGCCCCATTTCAGAGGAAGAAAAGAAAAGAAGACTATCAGCAAAACTGCTCCTAGATAATTTAGCATATAAGGATGAACTGAAATGGAGACAAAGAGAAAAGGTGAAATGGCTCAAGGCTGGGGAAAGAAATTCTAGCTTTTTTCACAAAATGACCTAGAAATAGAGTAAATAGAATCGAAAAGTTGGAACTTGGAGGGGAAGTTGGGGAATCTTGGCAAGACAAGAAAAGAATGGTTATAAATTTCTTCGTGAGACTCTTTAAGGAAGATTAGAAGAAAAGACCTCTGCCAGAGGGAGTTAAATTCAAAAGAATTTCTGAGGAGGGACAAAGATGCTTGGAAGCTCCCTTTTCTGAAGAGGAAATTTGGCAGGTGATAAAGAATCTAGATTCAGAAAAGCCACCGGGTCCGGATGGGCTTACCAATTTATTTTACAAAAGTTGTTGGGAAGTGATTAAAATAGATGTGATGCAGATTTTCCAGGAATTCCATAGGAATGCCTCATTGGAAAGAAACTTAAATACCACATTCATCTCTTTGATCCTGAAAATTGAAGGAGCCACAAACTTGAAGGATTTCAGACCTATTAGCCTCCTGAACAGCTTCTATAAGATTCTGGTCAAGGTTTTGGCAGAGAGGTTGAAAAAGGTACTGCCGGTGTGATCTCTCAAAATCAGTTTGTATTTGTCCCCGGTCGTCAAATGTTGGACAGCGTCTTGGTAGCAAATGAATTAATTGACCTTGAAAAGGCCTATGACAATGTCAATTGGAGATGTTTGGACTTTGCATTGGATAAAATGAATTTTGGGCAGATTTGGAGGAACCGGATAAAAGTCTGTGTCACCTCTCCCAAGTTTCCAGTCATCCTAAATGGCCAATCAGTGGGTTTTTTTTTTAAATTCTAAGGGGCTTAGTCAGGGAGACCCTCTCTCCCCTCTATTGTTCATTTGTGTGATGGAAATACTTACAAATTTAATTCAAAAAATAGGGGAGGGGGTGGGTGGTGGAAGGGCTTTGAGGTGGTTCCAGGAGGGGAGAATGTTCAGGTACTGCAATTCGCAGACAACACTTTATGTTTTATGGAAGCCAATGAAGATCACTTAGACTTATTAGTGGGAGTTCTAAGCTGGTTTGAAGTTGTGACAGGACTGAAAGTTAATTCGAGCAAAAGTTGTTTGATCCTAGTGGGAAAAGTGGAAAATACAGAGAACTTAGCAGAGAGATTAGTTTGTCAGGTGGGATTCCTTCCAACAAAGTATCTGGGACTCCCTCTAGGAGTAAAATGCACTTCAGTAATGATCTGGGAACCAGTCTTAGAACGGTTGGAAAAGAATTTGGCAACTTGGAAGCCTAAATACTTGTCCTTGGGGGGCAGAATTACCCTTTTAAAAGGCTCCTTATCCAACTTGCCGGCATTTTATTTCTCCTTATTCCCAATTCCAAGTAAAGTGGCCCAAAGAATTGAGAGGCTACAAAGGGGCTTTCTATGCCAGCTTCGGTGGGTCTTGCTTGGTCAATGTCAGCTTTGGTGAAGGAGATTTTGTGGAGCTGGGGGTTACAGGGATTGTCAAAGCTTGCTTCAGCTGTGTGGATGTCCATTCCGGCTGCAGTCATCAGTGCCATTTGGGCAGAAAGGAACAAAAGACTATTTCAGAATATCTATAAGGATCCGAAAAACCTGATATCTATTTCTTTAGGAAAGTTGATTTCTTGGGTCTCGGATTCAAAGGGAATTCAGGCTGCTCAGTTGGGGGCTAGGCTAAATTCTAGGAACCTATGGCTTCTGGAATTTTGTTATGTTTGGGTTGTTTCCCCATCTAAGGTGTTCCTTTGGGGGCCTTTGTACTAGTATTTCTTATCAATAAAGTTTACCTTACCTTTTCTCAAAAAAAATAAATAAATAAATAAAATCATTCTATATTGTACTATAGAGAAATAGAAAGTCACTTGGTCCAATTGTGCTGGATTATCATGAGGTTATAAGCTATGTGGAGTCACCTTGCAACAACTTCATCCGTTTATTCTATTTTCAATATTTTCTTTGAGGTAAGGAAAGGGCTGTTTGAGTGAATGGTATCTTTTACAGTGCATACCTTCACCTTTAAATGCTATATGCTGATAGATTTTCACCTGATATAGATAGCTTTTCAGTCAATGTAATGAGCACAGACATATCCAGTGGAACCTTAGACGAGTATTTGCTTACAAGGCACAAATAGATCCCATGATGACTAGTATGATAGGCTTTCTAATAGGCATCAATATTTACAATGGGAAAACAAACAAATTAGAATTCAATGAGACTTCTCTTATTTCCTTCTGTAGAAAGTTCAGTTTGTGTGTTAGGATAGCACTGTTTGCAGAATCAACGGATATAATGAAAGTTAGAAATAACATTTTTATCAATTAAGCATACACATAACATGATAACATCAAAGAAACATTTGCAAAATCATCAAAAAAGGAATGTTAAGTAAAAAGCCCCTTCAAATCATAAGGATAAAAAAATAATATGACAAATTCTATAGAAAATGAAAGCCTCTTTTCTTTTTCATCCTCGACATTTTCATCAGGTGCAACAAAAAGGAACTATGAAGGACTGATAATAACCTAAAACCTTAGGGGAATTCAGCTTAGGAGTCGTTAATAAACCCCTCCTTGCGACCTTCAAAGCCGGGACGCATGAGCTTTTTCTCTCTCTTTGCGATCCTCCGCAACTTCTTTTGATGAATCTTCTCAGCTATGTTACCTGACCTAGTCTGCTGCTTCTCCGCCCTAATCTTCTCCTTATTCTCGATTCTCTCCTTCCACTTCTCAACGTTTTTCTGATGCTTCTTCTTCTCTTTCTTTATGCTCTGCTTCAACAGTTTGGGATCATCGTGAACTTTAACCCCCGCAGCTCTAATTGTTGCTGCTTTCCAAGAATGCTTCTGGGAGATAACCTCACCCTTCTCTGGATCTTTCTTTGCTTCTTCGAGTCTCTTCGCTTTCTCTAGTTCCTGCAACTTTGACAGTTTTCGCTTCTTCCTGCCATGTTCATTCTCCTTCCCAATCTTAACATGAGTAAAAGTGAGTCCGTCAGAAGCCTCAGCTGCGTCTTTTTTTATTTTTTCCGAGGATTCGCTGACATTGAATTTCTTTTCTTGGGCCTCGGTATTGTTTCTTTTTCGTTTCCCTCGTTGAATTTCTTTCTTCTTCTCGTTCTTTGCTTTATCCAAGTCACCACCTTTTCGATTCCCTCGAAGCTCCTCGATTCTACGATGAAGCCGTTGCCGGAGCTCTTCGTAAGTCACCGATCGGTTTTCGGCATTGGAATGAGGATTATGTTCGGTTCCGCCCTCCCTTTCATTCTCTCCTTCTGATTTATCCTTGTACTTCTCTTTGCCATTTTCCAAACTCTGTTTGAGCAAGTCTAGGGTTGTTGAAGCTTTCTCGGGGTCTAATCGATCCCTCCGAGCTTTCTTGATGTTCTCTCTGGATTCATTCTTCGCAGAAGCTTTTGCAGTCTTGCTCAAGCCCTGAAACCACGGCTTGTCTTTATCATCAACAGGAAGATAGAACCTCGCAGGTATGAGCTCTATCAACTTGTCGAAAAACAGAGAGTGATCGTGTATAGAATGGCCCGGAGTCTCCTTCTTCTTCATCTGTTCAAAACCGACGACAAAAAAAATACAAAAATCTTCCCAAGCCTCCAACTCGAGCGGGTGCGAGGGATTGAGGCGCAGAGAAAAATGAGCGAAGGTGGAAAGAAATGAAGAGTCTGGGAGTAGGGTTTGATATGTGGTGATATGGCTAGTAGTGCTGTGAACGGTTCGGGTCTGGTCGGGACAAGATAGAACCGTTCTGAACCGACTGTTAAAATCAATAGTATCGGAATCGAACTAGACCCGAACGGTTCTATTATTTCAAAACCGGTACCCAACCAATGGGTAATCGGGACAATTGGGTGTAACTAGAGGTGTAAATCAGGCCGTGTTGCTCGTGACTCAGTATGGCTCTGCATGATTTTAACTTGGCCTAGACCGATGGTCCATGGGCCATACCGCGGCCTAACACAATTGTATGGGTCGATGGGCCATTCTGGGCTTAGGGTTTTAGGTCAATAGACTGGGCTGGCACGGGCCGCCCTATCATGTCGTTCCACTCGTGACCTATGGGCTAGCACGGCCCATTGATCCATACATAATATTATATAAATTATAATTATATAACAATATATAGTAGATAGTATATTAATAAAATAAATAATATTTTCAATTTTATTATACTATTTTATTTAATTATCGTATATATAAGCAATTGTATATATCAAAATTCATATAAAATTAAAATTTTAAGTTTTTTTTATTTTTTAAAATGAATAACTTTAGTCGAATGCACGACCCGTTTTAAACCTCTAGATCTAACCTGATTGGACCCGATGAAAGAAGAAGTCATACTTAAGACCTGTAATTTTTATAAGAGAAGAACATTTTGTTTAATAACCTATTATCAGTATATGTGATTAATCTTGCTAAAAATCAATCTGTAAACTGCCTAAAAAAACAAATGAAATGGGGAAAGTTGGGTAGACTGGCTGGGTTGCATTGCAGAATGAAATGGGGTCTATCAAGTTCCAAATACACCCCATCTATTCTTTACCGGAAAAAAAAGGAGAAAATGAAACAAAAACCACATCTGTTTTATGTTCTAGAAGTCTTCAAAATGGAACAAAAATCAGAAGCCAGAAGGTCCAAAACTTAGCCTTTTCATGCATGATGCTTTGGACGTTGGGACTCCATTTCCAGGTTTGAACTTTGATATGAGCACAAAGCCACAGAGCGTCGAAGAAAAAGATTGAGTTGAGATTTGAACAATGAGCCAATGAACACGCAAAAAAGTCTTGAGCTGAGATCAATAACTTTCTGTTTTCCCCTCCATTTGTTTTTATTCAATATTCAACGAGGAACACGAACAACTGAAGTGAACTGCCGAACAGAGGAAATGAGGAAATGAGGAACTGAGTCGGTAACGGTGAATCCTGAGAAAGTAATGAGCAAAAAATGAAAAGGCCAATAGGGTTTTAGGTTTTAAACCCTGCCTAGAATATTATATATATATATATATATATATATATATATATATATATATATATAAACATGTAAAATATTAAAATATAATAAGTAGGTATATATATAATCGGTTCGGGTCTAATTGGTTCGGGGCAACCAAAACCAGTCCCAAACCGACAATAATCGGGACACAAAAAATAAAACTTGAACCAACTCTTCGGAATGAATTATAGAACCAGAACCATCATAAACAGTTCGCATTGTTCGGGTCTACTGGGTAGACCCAACCCATTGACAACCCTAATAGTCAATGCTTCTGATGAGAATAAAAATTATCATATTTTTATCTCCAAATATTCAGTCTTTTATATTTAATTAGTACTTAATTAGACTCATTATTCTTGTATTTCGATTCAGGGCATGAAAGAATGCGTCAAGAGAAAAACAAGGCTAATCGGGCAATTTTACCCAGTTTCGGCACCGCGAGATGATTTGAGAATAGCTCTCCCATTCGGATTTCGATTGAAAAGATTCAAGATGCATTGGAAAGATAAGGGAGAAAAAGAGGAAGGTGATAGCAAGGAGAAGACAAGCTCATAGATCTTAGCTTCAAGGGTGACATCATGAGTTCTTTCTTACCCTTTGTTTGTTTTATTTCATTTATCATGAATTAATTTATTTGTAACTAGGGTTGTGGGAAGCCTAACCACGACAATGAATTGATTTTTATTCTGATTTATCCAAGATTGTTATTTTCATATTGTCTATGAATTATTATGCATAATGCAACTAAGAGCTTGGCCACCTCTTAATTGATTTGGTTTATGKGAATGAATCGAGAGAGGAATTMACATAATYGAYTGAATARTTCATAGTGWGAATTGAATGGTATATAGAGATATATATACATGATTCATCTGAYRATATAAGTTTTTCATAGAACTTAATGCATTTCTATCACAAGAACTCTAGTCGAGAGGTCAAAGGATTACTTGATAGAGGTAGATTTGATATATCCTGGGAGAGAATATTAAATAATTTTGGAAAAACTTATGAAAATAATAAATTATCTTGGTTAATCTAATAAATTGATATCCATTGGAATGGTTAGATGGACCAACAGTCCTAGCACTTTTAATTAGATCGTTGCAAGTTTTGTCATTGATTGCCCTTATTTTTATTTCTTTTTCTTCTATTCTTAATTTTCAGTAATTCTTATTGTTAGATCTAAAATTCGGTTGTCCAAATAATTAAGGAAGGCTATAGTTCTAATATTTATTTTGTTAAATCCGTGTGGGAACGATATCTTTATACTACTTAATAACTAGTGCGCTTGCTAGGTTTATATAATTATAGCTATCAGCTTCATAGACTCTACGATAACCAATGGATTAGAATCCCTACACCCTTCTTCATAACGATTTTCTAGCATCAAAGTTGTAGATCCTTTTCAGAAAGACAAACATTGGACTACAATCCTGATGTATAATGCACCAGTGGGGACTTGTGCGATGTGCTTTGTTAAGTGAAAATTAAACAATAGAAATACATAGAAGTATATAATTGTTTTATATAACTTTTTAATAACCAATTCGATCAAAATCGACCCAAGTTGATTGGTTTTCTAGTATTTTCAATCATCTTTGGTTTAGCAATTTTCCAACTCGACCAAGTTAGGTTAGTTTCGATTTGGCGATTTGTAAACTAACCAAAACTGAACCAACCCGACCATATATATATATATATATGTATATATATATATATATATATATATATATATATTAAATATATCTTTTTAATAAAGAAAAGTGGGAAAATTCTCATATTTCTTAGTCTAAAATATTTTATATCATAAATTTATTTTTTTTATTTTTTAATAATACCACTATAATTTATTAAATTTATTTTTTAAGTTAAAATATTTGAACAAACAAAGCAAACCAAAAATAGACCCCAAAATAATACAACCCGAGTAGGTAGATTTTCACTAATGGTCAATCGGTTTCAGGTTACAAACTCTCGACCTAAACAGGTTGATTTGGTTGGCGAAACAACCTGCAATCGACCAAACTAAACAGGTTGATTTGTTATATAATTATTTAGATATTTTAATGTTTTGTTATTTAAGATATTTAGTTATTGAAATATTTAAATAATGTTTTATTTTTTAATGTTAAATTTGTATCATTCGAATAACATTTAAATTGAATAATTCATAAAATTATAGTTTACATTGTTGCTACATAATTTCATGATGAATTATTTAGATATTTCATGATGAATTTGAGTTAATTTAGGAGGGAATCTCTCGACTAAATTAGAGATAATTTAAGAGATAAATAGGAGTTAGAGATAATTTAGGAGATAAATAGGAATTAGACAAAATTTAGGAGAAAGTGGGGGAAAGTGGTGACACTTGGCTAAGCATTAGAAAAGCAAATCCCTCTTTCTTTATAGTTGTTAGAAATAGTTAAGCCCATGTTATTTCCTTATTGGTTTAATGGTTAACTATGTGGAATAAAAAAAAAAAATTCAAAATTCAAAACAAAAAGGACATTAGGAAGGGAGTATAGAGCAAGGAGAGGCATGGTAGCATGGATCGTCTTGTTATATATATATATATATAGAGAGAGAGAGAGAGAGAGAGAGAGAGAGATGGATAGATAGATAGATAGATAAATAGATAGATAGATACAATCAAAGAAATAGTCACATGTGGCTTGAAATCACATTTGTGCCCTGTAGAGTAGAATGCGCCTCACAAAGGCCCCACATGTGCATTGGGGATATCTTCCATACTTGTCATTGGGAGATGTTTTCAATACACGATTGAGATATATTGTAGGGCATTTATGGGGTGTGCTCTGTAGGGCATAGATGCAACTTCAAAATTAGGATCTCCTCCTCACATAGCGCACCTCACACTGACCTTACAGATACATCTCACATGAATAATAACAATTAAGTACGAGAGATGTTCCTGATACATGGTGGGATGTGCTTGTGAGGTCGGTGTGAGGTGCACTCTTTAAGGAGCAGATATGGCCTCGTGAATTCATAGGTCTTTAGTTGATGTTGATTCCCATACACCTTAGATTTGAAAATCATCAAAATGTGGGGTCAATTGACCTACGTCCAACCCTAAGATACAAATTTGGGGCTCAAAACTAGTTGAATCCGAGGTCAAGTCCAAGTTTACCAATTCATACCTAATTCGAGTTTAATAAATACAACTATACAACTCAGACCTAATCCACGTTTAACCGAATATAGCTCAAGTTGGGATGGGTCATGCTATATGGGTTGGATGGATTTAATTATAAGAATTTAATGATGAGAAAAATATATTTTAAATATAGGTTTTAATGAAAGAGAATAAGAAAATATTTGTATTTCCAATTGGTTTTAAATTTTACATTCCATTTCCATCATTAATAAAACATTTCTTTTTTATCATACTTATTATTGTTTAATATGTATTTTAAAAATGTTCCCAATTTTTTAATTTCTATTATTTTCATTTTATCCATTTTTGAATTTTATTATTTAATCATGGCAACATCATCCCATTTCCATCATTAGTAAAAATATTTCTTATTTATCATACTTATTATTTTTAATATATATGTTAAAAATTTTCTCAATTTTTTTAATTTCTAATTATTTTTTCATTTTATTATTTAATCGTGGCAACATGGATTGACCCATT